AGCAGCGGAGGGGAGGTGCGATGGGGATGCGGGGGGTGATGGGAGGCGGAGGTGCCATGGGGACACGGGGGTGATGGGGACGTGGATGTGCAACAGGGACACGGGGGGGCCGTGGGGCTCTGATGGGGACATGGACAGGATGGGGACACGAGTGTGCGACAGGGACGTGGCTGTGCTATGGGGCCACGGGCATTTGGTGGGGACACGGACACGGGATGGGGACACGGACATGCCGCAAGGACATGGGTGTGTGATGGGACATGGGTGTGCAACAGGAACACAAGTGTGCAACGGGGATGGGGATGTGATGGGGGCACAGGCCGGGGACGGGGACAGGGGTGTGTGAAGGGAACATGGAGGTGCACTGGGGACACGGGCACACACAGGGGACGGGACACGCCATGGGGACAGGGGTGTACCACGGGGGTGCAGACGTGCAGCAGTGACATGGACATGGGATGGGGACACATATGGGATGGGGACGTGGCCATGTGGTGGGGACCCCAACATGCAGTGGGGACTCAGCCATGGTGGGGACATTGGCCACGTAGCGGGGACGCTGCTGTGCCATGGGGGCCGTGCCACCGTCCCCCAGCCCGGGTCGGTGACAGTGAGGTGACGTCCCATGAAGCCGGCGTGTCCCCAGGGGGTCACATCGGTGACTGCGCAGGGAAGGGGCGTTTCCTTCTGTCCCGCTTGGCTGACCCGGGGCGAAGGTCTCGGTGGGGGAAACTGAGGCACGAGCGGGTGCCACCCGCAGCTCTCTCTGTGCAGCACCCGCTCAGCACCGCACGATGAAGGCTCTTCTCCTCCTCCTCGCCCAGCTCTGCTCGGCATCGCTGGTCCCCGGTAGGTGACGTTTGGGGGGCGGCACCCCGGCAGCGGGAGCTGTTGGTGCTATGGGTCCTGGTTCCCCACAGAGAGGGAGAAGGACCCCGAGTACTGGCGGCGGCAGGCGCAGGAGACCCTGCGGAACGCGCTGAGGCTGCAGCGCCTCAACCAGAACGTGGCCAAGAACCTCATCCTCTTCCTGGGGGACGGTGAGATGGGGGCACCCACCCTGGGCTGGGGGGGACAGGGATGCCATGAACTGGGTGCAGTAAAGTGGGGGCTGTGGTGAACTGGGTGTGGGATATGTTGGGTGTCGTGGAAAAGGGGGTGCTGAGGTGAGGTGGGTGCTGGGGTAAACTAGGTTTGCAGTAAGGTTTTGCTGGGGTAAAGTGGGTTTGTAAGAAGTTGGGTGCTGGGGTAAAATGAGTTTTTAAGCAGGTGGGTGCTGGGATAAATTGGGTTTGCAGTAAGGTATGTGCTGGGGTAAACTAGGTTTGTAAGAAGCTGGGTGCTGGGATAAATTGAGTTTGCAGTAAGGTTTTGCTAGGGTAACTGAATTTGCAATAAGGTATGTGCTGGGGTAAACTGGGTTTGCAGTAAGGAATGTGCTGGGGTAAACTGGGTTTGCAGTTAGGTATGTGCTGGGGTAAACTGGGTTTGTAAGCAGGTGGGTGCTGGGATAAAACTGGGTTTGCAAGAAGTTGGGTGCTGGGATAAAACTGGGTTTGCAAGAAGTTGGGTGCTGGGATAAAACTGGGTTTGCAGTAAGATATGGGCTGGGATAGGACTGAGTTTGCAAGAAGTTGGGTGTTGCGATAAATTGAGTTTGCAAGAAGCTGGAGGCTGGGATAAACTGGGTGCTGGAATGAACTGGATTTGCAAAAAAATGGGTGCTATGGTAACTTGGATTTGCAATAAATTGGCTGCTGGGGTAAACTGGATTTGCAAACCAAAATCTGGGTGCTGCAGTAAATTTGGTTTGCGCTAAATTGGGTGCTGGGATGAACTGGATTTACAGTAAGTTGGGTGCTGCAATAAATTGGGTTTGCAGTGAAATTGGGTGCTGGGGTAAACTGGGTTGCAATAAATTGGATCCTGGGGTAAACTGGGTTGCAGTAAGTTGGATCCTGGGATAAACTGGGTGCAACAATGAACTAGGATTGCGATAAACTGGGTGCTGGGATTAACGGGTTTGCAAAAAAACTGGGTGCTGGATAAACTGGATTTGCAGGAATTTTGGTACTGCAATGGACTGGGTACTGGGATAAACTGGGACTGCAAAAAATTGAGATTGCAATAAACTGTGTGCTGGAATAGATGAGGTTTGCAAAAAATTGAGTGCTGGGAGAAACTGGATTCTGGGATAAACTGTGCTGGGATGAACTGGATTTGCAAAAAGTTGGGTGCTGCAATAAGTTGAGTTCTGCAATGAACTGGGTTTGCAATGAAACTGGATGCTGGGATAAACTGGGTGCTGGGATAAATTGGATGCACAATAAACTGGGCTTGCAGAAAATTGGGTGCTTCAATAAACTGTGCACTGGGATAAACTGGGTGCACAGTAAACTGGGCTTGCAGAAAACTGGGTGCTGGGATAAAATTGAGGCTCAATAAATTGTGCTTGCAGAAAACCAGGGGCTGGTGTAAA